GATCGAGAGTTTTTTTAGAGTTATTTAAATTTTTAAAAGGGAAAAACAATATTATTTTTGTTACTAAAGTCAAGTCTGTTGAAGGCTACACAGAACCTCATAATCTTAGGAAACCACAGGAATATTTGCTGCTAAAACAGCACATTCCAAATATATATGTGCTAAGTAGATGGACAAGTCCACCAGTTACCACATTAGAGTTTTTCACGGTGTGTTCTTCTTGTCAGACAAGGACATTATGATTGGAGCCAGAACCCAGAGGTTTGTTCCTAGTAGTTGGGAACACACTTGCATTCATGCCAGGTCCAGAAATAAATCCTAGATGATGTTTAGGTTCAGCAAGAAATAAACAATATTTTAGGAAGCAAAGAGTCCAGGAGCCAGAATAATAAGAGGTTGAGAATGCAAATACAGATGTGTGCATAAACGTGTTCGTTTCTCACCACATAAGGGTAAAAAATTTGGATGCTGTCATCAGGGGCAAAGAATGTTTCTCAAGAATGAACTGACTCAGATTTCACCCATGCACTTCAAGAAAATAATCTGGAAAATCTTAAGAATCCAGGCATTCTTTTATTGGTTACAAGAAAAGAATCAAGAAAAAGTTTGTAAGACTTTTAGGTAGCTATTACTTGATTAGAATAAAATTATGATAAACACAATGTTCTTATTCCTGCTTGATGGGATTCATTTTTTAATTGAAGAAATGATTTAAATTTTTTGATGGGAATTCTTTATGTTAGCCAAGAGAGCTACAGTTTAGTAACTAAGCTCAATTTTCTGTTCCTAAAAATTTTCTGCCAACTGTAAGTAAACAAAAGAAAATTTGAAGAGTAACAGGTTTCCATATGAATTAGTATACTAAAAATTGCTCCAAAATCAATTACTCTAGTGGATTTTATTTACAGAACAGATTGACTCCCCTCAAATGCTGACTCTGAATTCTGGATTTATTCTGGAGCACACAGCAGGGAGGCAAGGAATGCAGTGACTTGACTTCTAGGGTAAGTGTTAAGATTCTGCTGATGAGAAGGCTGTGCTAAGACACATTCTTTTGGTATAGGTCACTTCTAACATAAGAGTGAGTTTGCCAGGTTATGCCTCAAACCTAACACCTCATGTAGAAATGTCAAGTGTTTCTTCTCATCACCTATGACTTTGGCTTAGACAAGAGCAATGACTGTGAAATGCCATGTCCTCCTTGTAACCACACTTGCCCACTCTACTCAGCACAGAATAAAAAGAAACCAGGCTTATGCTGTCATTAGAGAGAAGCCTGAACGAGGAAGAATGGGTCACAGGTGAGCTGAGACATGTGACTGAACCTCAGGTTCAGAGTCCCCAGTTTTGCTTCACCACTAAGGGATTGGGACTCTTTTCTGAAGATACACCCTCACTAGGCCATCTGGTCCCCAGAGCTCTGGGATGCCTGGGCAATGCGCTGGGGGTACCTGCCAGTGATGATGTGATACCGGCTCTCCCAGTTCAAGTCCTCCTTCCCCATTCATCCTCCAGCAAAGCAGTACAATGCTCTACCCCTCACCCCCCACTTTCCATCTGACTTGTCCCATGCTGATGAGGAGAACTCTGTGTTGAAGTTAACAGGTCTTGCTGGAGGTACTCAGCAGTCACCACGCACTCACCACCTCCTCCTGCAGATGCACTGTCTGTCCAGCATGCTCTCAGCCAGGGCTGCACAGCCCTGAAGGCCAGAGGGTGGACTGGATTCACACTGTAGCTTCAGGCTTTAGCAACTGCCTGAAGCACTCATTCTGAGCCTGTTCTCCAAAAGTGGCATCTTGTCAACAGTTTTTACTCTGTACAGATGCCAAGCTCAGTCACCTATTTGCTCAGCAGCTGGGCAAAGAATTCTCACAATCACTAGAAGGCTCTGGTTTCCAGGAGGAGTGAAGGTGAGGGGGTTTCCTTGGCCAGGGCTTAGCTTCTGTTTGTGTGTGACTGTGTGCAGGTTTAACTTAGATAGCAAATCTTAAATGATGAGCATAGTGTAGACACACAGCTCAACACATGGTGGCTGTTCTCATACCACTATCGTAAACACATACTTTGAGGATATGCCTTAAACGTGCAAGAGGGACCTACTTGATGAGACTGCTCAATTGCACTAAGGGACAAAAACAAGAGAGGCAAAGCTCCACTGGTCAAGTCAATGTGGATGTTTCAAATGTTCTGTGGGGGTCAAAATCTGTACCTCCTTCCATATTGACATAAATGGAGGTGGTGCTGTGATTTATGAAGCTGAAGGAATCGAGGCAGATATGAGCATGTGTAAGAATGTGGTACTGTTTGTAATAGTTTAAGCTGAAGCCTCTTTAAAACAGTACATATTCTTTGGGGTTAGTGTGTTGGAACTGTCAGCTGAGTGACTCCAGCCACCAACTGTGCCCACCCACGGCGTGATACTCAAGCTTGGAAACTCTGGCTGCATGCGTAGTGCTGTCACTGTTTGCAATTCTTGGTCCTTCCTCACCAGCTGCTTTGTCTGTCAGGATGGCAGGGACTGGCCGACTGGTTGGAACCATATGTGCTATTTCTGTGCATAGGATGTGAGTAAGTAATGTCGCAGTAAGTCGGACCAGGATATGAGTCAGATTATTATAAAGTGTTAAAAAGAACTGATCTTCAAAGCGTCCTGAAAGGATCATGCCACGCTACTCTGCTGTACAGGAGCTACAGTTTGAAAGCCATTTATAATTACTAATCAAAGGAGAAACCCTGAAGGATATGGATAATCAGAACTAGCCAATCGCCTACCAATGAAAAGCAATGGATAAGGCTGAAGCTAAAACCTTGAGGTCTTAAAATTTAGAGGTAAAAAGAAATATTTATCACAAGGATCACATGTTTCTCTAGCATGCTTCAGTTAGATATGTAGAAGCAGTGAAACGGGCAGCTCGGAAAAGCTGTGGAACGTGGGTTCGCTTTATTTTCTTCTGAAAACAAAATATTTTGTCTGCAGAGCAACTTTCATGGGGCCAAATTAATGGTCCTAAACTGGCTCTTAAAAAAATTTATTGGCAGTGAGGCATCAATATAAAAAAGGATATCTTTCGCTATTTGTAAGAGTGAAAAATTATAAATCATCACAATATCCACAAATTAAATAAACTATGTTTTGTCTCTTTGATGGAACCTAAGCAGCTGTTAAAAGGAATAAAGTAATTTGAATATAGGGGTATGGAAGAATGATGTCTGAGGGAGACTATTATGGAGAAAATCAAGTTGTAGAAAATGTGCATGGTAATTGCATTTCTGTTAAAAATGATGTGTTGTCCATGTATAGGAAAAAGTTTCTAAGGAGCCAGAGAAAACCATTAAAAATTGTTATTTGTGACAGAGATTTTTGTATACCCCTATTCACTGTTTGAATCCTTTATAATAAACATTACTTTTATAACAGAAAATAAACCATCAAAGATATTTATGAGAAAAGACTAGTAATAACCTGACTTCTTCTGTAATTGCAATGTTCTTGGAGGCCTCAGGGCAGCCTAATGGCCAACCAAGTCCCTGAGCGAATGAGTGAAGGCACAGACAGCAAGGCTCTGGGGGAGTCCAGGGAGGCTGCGCAGTCAGTGCTTCTGAAATGCCATCAGAAAGGAGGGTGTACAGACCAAGGAAGCCCATTATGTACTCCTGCCATGGTACCCTTGCGTTCTAGCTCTTTCTGGCCTCTGTAACTGTACTTCTGCTTCTAGAGGCACCAAGGGAGTTTTCGCCCTGTGGCCATAAGCCATGGCTGTGACCCCCCGACAGGTTACTGCTCAACCTTGGCATGCTAACACTTCTGAACATAGTTTTGCTGACTTGCTGTTCAAGGGGTGGTGAGGAGGTATCAGTGAGAAGTGATGGCAGCAATTCATCGGCTCCATCTTCTTCCTCCCAGCCAAGCCTGGAACTATCTTTTGTTTTAAGAGCCAGGGTGAAGGGAACTTTACCTGTGTTTATGACCACAGGAATCCATCACAGTGCCCTCCCAGTCAGGAATTTCCTAAGTAAACTGTGTCTTCTGCTCTGCCCTAGACGGTCCCTTTCTCTAAAAGGGTGGGAGAGAGAGCGGGCCCATTCGTTTAACCACAGGCAAGGGGCTGGAAACAGTTACTGCCTCAGCCTTGTCTTCTGAAGGCTGAAGAAACCCAGACATCGCTGTTCTCCAGAAGCGTTTTCTATTCTCCAACAATCTCCTCTGAATACCTCACAGTTAATCTCTCCTTCCCTACTCCAGAGCTGCCCTTAGGTAGCACCTAGTCAGCCTCCAGATTCTGGCTCAAATGCATGCCCTCTGGGGAGCCTTTCCCAACACCCCAAGGCCAGACCAGGTCTCCTTATACCTGACACACAGTCCCCATCTCAGAACGCTTATCCCGGCCTGCACTTTCCACTTATTTCTGTGATCAGTTGATTAATGTCTGTCTTCCTCATTAGAACGTTAAGCTCCTTAAGGGTGGAAACTGCACCTGTTTTTGCTGAACCCCCAGTTCATAGTACAGTGTCTGGTGCCAAGCAGATACCAATAAAGGCTTATTCAATGGAAGGATGCTGCAGAGGCAACTGGGCGGAATATGTGCCAATGGGGAAGGGAGAGCAGCTGCAAAGGCCCCTCTCCCTGGTCACTAGCTTGCCTCCTTTATTTTTTGACATATGTGTCCAAGTGAATGGTTAGCCAGTGATATGTCTCCTCTTAAAATCTGAAGATTCATCTGAGGTGGGTCCTAGTAGTAGATGACAGTGTTTAAAGGCATTAAGAGGTTATGGCTAAGGCTCTGGCAAGTTTCTCCATTGAAATGGCAGAGCCTTTGATGCTATGACTTCTTGGTTACTTCTTGGGGGCTTTTTAGCTCTGTATCCCGGGGATGCCCAGGGATGCTTAGGGCGTCCTGGAGCATGGAGAGAATCTGATGGGGACAGAAACCCTCTGCCAACAGCAGAGAGAGCGTCGGACAACACCGGGTGAGTGGTGGGGCGGGGTGGGCACTGACCTCGGCTGATGCGCTGCTTCTCCCCAGACAGGATGCCAGGGCTGTCAATGATGCTGATACTCTTCAGGACCTGATTGGGCAGCTGGGAGCACATGAACCTGGAAGAAAAGGATCAAAGGTGGGGTCAGAAATTGCACTAACTACGGAGCTCCTTGGCCTCTGTGGGCTACTGACATCATCTGTGGTAAAGCGGGGGCTTGGAGGGTATTGTTGGCACCCCACTGGTGCTACAGAGACTAGATACCAGGAATGGGAGGGTGTGCTGGCACCTGCTGCTACCTGCCACTGAATCCCCTGCTGCTAATTATGATTTTAGCGAACACTTATTGAATACTTAGGTATTTTACAACATCATCTCATTTGTCCCTCATTTTAACCTCATGAGGAAGAAATTACAATTAACCTCGGAGAGTTTAACCTGAGTGACTTGCTTAGCGTCACTCAGAGCTGGTCTTTAAACCCAGGTCAGCCTGACTCCAAAGCCCATCTGTCTCACCTGTGCCTCCTCCATGCTGCTCCTCTGCCAAGTGTCCCGAGCTTCTCCTCCCAGGGATCCCACACCTCCTTCAGGGTCACTGCCACACTGGGCTGAGCATCCTGAGCTCCTTGTCCAGCCCCTGCCTACTCCTGATATGTCAGTGAAGGTACTGGGGTCTGTTTTCACTGTCTGATGACCCAGGACTCAGCACCCCACCTGGTGCCCACTATAGCTTCAGGCTCAGGGTGGAGCAGGCACCTGCGGGCAACTCCCCAAATCCTCCAGGTGCTTCTGAGTCTTGGGGGTGCCCTAAGAGGGCCCTGCCAAACTTCTCCAAGCCTCCTCCCTTGTCCATCACTTCCCTGATACTATCTTCTCCTCCTCATCTCGCTTCCCCTGAGGTCCAGGCAGAGTGGAATGGCAGGGAAAGTATGGCCTGTGGGTCAGCAGACCTGGGTTCAGGTTTGGCTCAGCCTTTGCCAATAAATTGCTGTGGGACCCTGGACAAAGGCTCCCCACTCTGGGCCTCAGTTTCCTCATATATATAAATGGAGACAGTTAGACCAGGAGCTAGTGAGGTCCTTTTTAGCTCTCACGCTGTGTAACTCTAGAGTGGCAGATGGAAATGCTTTGTTCCCTCCACCGCAGGTAACAGAGCCCAGGTGGATCTGTTAGTCATTTGCATATTTTAGGGAGGAAACTGCAGAGTGCCTTGCCTTTCCTATATTGCCAATGTCTGTGTGGGCAGAAAGCTTGAAAACCCTCGGTGAAAGCTCAATTCTTCCACTGAGTGGAACTGGTGGGATTACTCAGAAAGTAAATATGCTGGGAATGCAGGACAAGGAGGCCTGCCCAGCCTTCACAGTGCATGTGTGGACAGCACAGCCACAGAAAGGACGTGGGAGCAGCCCGATGGGCAGGGGTGGACAGCCCTGAGCAAAAGGTACAACTATTGACATTTTGAAATAACTTTATTTGAAGGTGTTTAGGACAAGTTTCTTAAATATTCTTTCCTAGATTTTCAAGTCAGCCCGGGAAGATGTAAGAAAGATCTGATCATTTTATAGCTAGAAAAATTGAAGCACAAAGCAGTTATGGCATCTTGGGGTCATGCCTCAAATGCACGACTGGCTGGAGACTGCAACCTAATAGTTCTGATGTCAGTTGAGTAGAACTCAACCCATAATGTTGAAAATCTCATAACGTGAAAAATAAAGGGTCAAGTTAATTTAAGAGAAGCCCTTCATTTCTGATTTTCTCCAGTCCCTCCTGCACCCTCCACCTTGAAATAAACCCCACTGCCCAATACTCAGAGAGAGCAGATCTGTGAGAATAAAATGCACTGAGATCACTAAACATTCTTTGTAAGTTCACAGTGAAAAACCACCACATTCAATTCTCTCGAATTGGGGGTAGGAACGGGGTTCCGAGCATGTCTCTGGTGGACCGCATTTCTTGTCAGTAATGATTCGGTCTCTTAACATAGTCCCATCTTTTTTATCAGATGGCTGGAGACATTTGCCAATGCTGAAAAACTGCACATATGTGGAACTACTTGATGTAAAGTATTCCTGGGAGAGGCTGATATTTTTCCGAAACCAAAAGCTCACACTCAATATCAATATTTCTGAAACACAAGACCCCTGGATTTTAGCGTGAAGTTAACAGAGGGATTCAAAAATTTACAATCTGTCCACGTCCTCTGCACAGTGACGTTTCAATAACTCCCATGGCTCCTGACACAACAGCAGAGGTAAAATGTGTGAGCTACAAAACGAGATGCAGTTCAGATGTGGTAAAGTTAGCACACAATAGACAAGGGAGCAGGCTGAGGGGCCAGGAGAGTAACTGCAGAAAAAAGAGGAAGAGGAAGAAGGAGATGAAGAGGGGAAGAGGGAGGAGAGGGGAGAAGGGGAAAGGAGAGAGGGAGGAGTGAGAGGAGGGGAGGAAGAGAGGGAGGGAGAGAGAGGAAGGGAGTGAGAGAGGAGAGGGGAAGAGGAGGACACAAATATTCTAATTCAAGGAGAAAGGGGAAGAGGAAGCGGGAAAGGAGGGGGAAGGGAAGAGGAGGCACCCCGAGAAGGGGTAGTTGGGGTAGTGTGAAAAGCTGGGCTCCACTCTGGGGAAGAAAACACATATGAGGGGCTGGGGGGGTTAGAAAGGAGTATAGAACACAAGTCAGCTTTGAGACCCCTTGTAGAGGTATGACTCATACTCTACGGGTTAGAACCACACATTTTCTTAAATATACTGTAATCAGAAAAAACTCTAATGCAATGTTGTTAAAGCAATCCTGTCTTACTTTTATGCTCTAAGAAAGGAAGGTGATAAGCAAGGTTATTGGCTTTGGGTAGATCGCCGTAAGCTGTGGGTCAGGCCTTCCCTTCCTGTGTGTGTCTGCTGAAATGTTTCCAAGCACAGATTTGCTGTCTCAAATCTAGTAGATGGATTTCCTACTACTTCCCGGAGTGACTGACATGAAGTGTATCCATGCTTTGCCTTCTGCATTTCACATGGAACCTGCAGACATGTGCTGGTTCAGCCCAAGAGCCTCACATAAGCTTTTATGAAGTGTCCCTCACCCGGGGCTGATGTGATACATTTTCTGAAAACATTCCATTTTGATAATCAATATTTTAAAAGAACCAGGCAGTATCTTAATGGTGCTTTTGATTTCCAGAAGATGTAATGATGTGTAGTAGTTAAGTAATAATAAAGTGGCACAAACATTTGTGGACCACTTACTGTGTATCAGGTACTGTTCTAAGCACTTTCTATACATGTTAAGTCAATTCTTGACACAATCTCAGAAGTAGGGACTTTGTGTCATTTTACAAAGGAGGAGACTGGGGTACAGAGGGATCATAGACCACAACTTGCCAAGTCACATGGCTGATAAGTGACAGAACTGGGATGCTAACCTGGCAGTTCTGACTCCAGAGGCCAGGTTCTTAACTAGTCGGCTGCTTCTACCATTCATGCATTTGAATGGACCTTCATCACACAGAGGGCAACATCTTGAAACAAAGGAGTGGCACGCCATAGTCCTGAACTCCCCACCCAAGAGGCTCCCACTTGTGATTTGCTCTCAACCCAATGGTGGAGAGTGGGGCAGTGAATAGGAAGCAAAAGATCCAGGCTCTGGTCATCTTCTTTACTCACATACCCTATTACTTCCTGCAGGTCTCCGAGCAATTCCACCAGCCTGAGGACTCCCAGGTTGTTAGGTTCAAGTAAACCTATGCTTCAATGGAGACAGTACAGAGTTGTTTCGAAGTACCTCACTTTACTGATAAGTCTAAGACCAGAGAGATTACACACCTTCTTCCTAAATTGGCACAGTAAATAACATACAATATACAAAAGACTTTGACAATTAACCTGTAATAATTATTACATGGTCCTACCACATATGGCTGATATAACCTTCCACTGCTCAGGAGGAATTTAATTTCACATCCAGACTACAAAAAGCCTGTGGTTGCCCCTTAGATTGAATTGTACAGAATTACCACTTTATAAGTGAAAGATGATTGAGTATTGGCAATTTCACGTTTAGGTTCAACCTAAATATGTACTTTTCTAAATCAAGCCTCTTTCTTCTGACTCTCATGGGGGAAAGCCTTGGGAAAAGCTAGGTGTAATGTGCCACTCGCTGCCAGTGTCAGGAAAATCTGCCTGAACCCAGGCAGTAAAGCTGTTTTTCTGGAATGTCAGACAGGACTGTATGGATAGCTGCTGATAAAAAACAATGGTTTAGCGACCTGGGAGCCACCATAACCCTGAAGTTAAAGATCAAATGGAAGAGCTTCAGGGAGTTTATTATGGATAAGCACATTACACACACAAAAAACCAATTAATCTCTCAGGTTAAAAATTTTTTTTTGCTGGTGAATCAAGGTGATTCTTGGCAAGAGCCTATTTTTCTTAATTTCTGCAGCTAAATTAGCTGGTGGAGCCAGCATATGTCTGGATTAATGTTGAATAATTGTATTAAGTCAGTTTTTAAAAAATTTCCAATGATATTAAATAACTATGAAATATTCATAGTCTAAAAAAAGTCTATTTAATGAAGCTTCATTAAATTACATAGACGTAACAAATAGAGTATCAGACCAAAAATACACATATGTATTCTATTATTGATAAATCATTACACAAATGTATAACAGTAGTTTTTTGGGTTGTTTTTTTTTTTAAATCATCACTATCATCAGGCCTGGCTAAAATGACAGGAGCACTGGAAGTACTGTTCATATTCCTTTAGCTGAAAAGGAAATTTCAAAATTTCAATTCCCAAGGCCAGTAATTATTTTTAAAAAGAAACAGAGGCAATTAAGAAGTAAATGAGATTAAGAATTTCTTCTGTGGAAGACTACAATTTAAAATCATACTAGATCCTAAACTAAAAACAATGTCTGTAGCTATCTGGATTTGAAAAAAGACAATTTTAGAAAAGCAGATTGAGGGAAAAACATAACATTCAATTCAAAAACAGACTGCAGGGGGAAATGTCAGAAGCCAATTCTCGATCAAAATACACTGTTATCTCCCGAGACTTGTGGCCTGAGGGTGCTGTTGGTCTGTGCATCTCCTTCTCTGTGAAGTGGAACTGCTTCCTGATAAAAGACTTTGAAACCTCAATAGCCACCTTCTCATGGAGCATTTCCAAGACCGGCCAGCCCGTGGAATTCTTTTCGGAAGGAAAGCAGCACGGTGGAATTGCAGAATGTCACATTAAAGTCGTTCCCATAAAACTCTTTTTGTTTTGGACTCAACTCCTTTTATTGTTCAAGTAGGGAATTTCTATAATTTGAACTTTCTTTTTTGGGAATCTGTCTTCTTTCTCAGAAGTGCACTATAGACTCCTTGTTACTTTCTTAAAAACCAGCCTTGGAGATAGAGACTCAAGCTCCACTGGTTTGCTTAATGCTTCAATGCCAGTGTTACCCTCTAGGTGTCCTGGGGTCAGATGCCCAAGCTAATGTCCTGTAATGAGGGGCCAAGGCAAAGGGCCCTATCCCAGGGGTAATGACTAGTGGTTGCTCGGTAGGTGGAGAAAACCAATTTTCTTTCCTACTAAATGTTGTATTTTGACCTCATTCCCAGAAAGTATGCTATGTAAAAAGAAGTTTGCCTGCTCTTAGAGCAAACCTGCTGATGTTCCCACAGGGATGCTAAAATTACAGACACACATTTGAGTGTCTTACACTAATTGACTTTCTTATACAAATGCTGGGTGAACAGCAGCACTGTCTGTAGATACAACTTAATCATGCTGTTTACGCTTAAGTATGTTATTAATGTATATGAGGTACATCTCTTACACGTGAGCCTCACATATACATGGCCACCAGGATGGTGAGAAGGACAGAAACTCCTCTTTGCCAGTGCTTTGTGAGGTTCAGGGTAGCTGACAGAAGGGAAGAAGAAATCTGAATTCTAGCCCTTTCTCTGTCTCTCCTTGGGCAAGTCATTTTACTTCTTTGCTCTCGGTTTCCTCATCTGTAAAATGGCCACAGCATCACCTGTCTTGTTAACCCTGTAAAGATAGTGTCTATGAAATTATTAATCTATGATGTGGGGCATCATCATCTTCATCATTGTTGGTGGGCTATATTGAGGACAGCCTTCAAAGTCAGATAGGAGGCAAGAGGCAATGACTCTTAGTCCAAACATCAAACCATTGGGCAGTTCAGTATAACAGTCACTAGCATGGCCTATGAGACAGAAGGCCACTAAGCTGAGTGACCCCGTAGAAGTTAAATTAATCTCTCTATAGATCAATCCCTCCTCTCGACATTGGGGACAATAGTAGCACCTAGGTCACAAGGTTTTTGTGAGGATTTAGAGCTAATATAAAGTTTAGAACAGTATCTTACACACAGTAAATCCATATAATTATTTGCTATTATTTTTGTATATATTCTGAATTCAGTTAACACTTAATTAATATATAATGCATGGATTATTTTCAGCAAGCTTCAAATTTTGACATAATGAACCTAGCCATTCAAAATCTTTCCTGAACATGTTTCCATACTCATTTGCTATATGTTTGGAATTTGAAAATAAAATTTTGTCAGGAAAGTAAGTCATTTGCCAAAATAAAACAAGCCATTACCACTCTTCCTGGTTTTTCCCTTGTGAATATGGACTTCAAGAAATGGGAACTTGAAAAAAGTAGCAGCTTATTCCTTTTTTTTTTTTTTAGGCGAGGCAACCCTTGGTGGACCTCACGGATTATAAAGATCTTGTCAGCTTACAATCCCTTATTTTTTACGCCTACAGCACCTTGTCTTCCTAGGTGGTCTCCCATCCGAGTACTAACCAGGGCCAACCCTGCTTAGCTTCCAAGATCAGACAGGATCGCAGCTTATTCCTTTTTTTTTTGGCAAACAGACAGTAAGACTAAGGGCAGTGGTAATGAAACCACAGGACTCTAGGCAGTCTTCCACAGATAAGGATGCTGTGCCCTACACTTTCCAGGGCCTCTGGAACCTTTCAGGGCCAGTTTTGGGACAGAAAGCCTGGCTGTTGCCTGCCCCGTGACCATGGCTTCCTGGCAGGCCCTGATGGGGGAGCTTCTTGCCTTGCTTCCCCTCAACCATGGTCCACTCTGTCCCAAGAGACCCTCTGGTATTTTCTCACTTGGGCTCGATCCCTACTTCTCTCAACTTTTGGTGCCAACCAATGCTGCTCTGGAGGGGAGGAGTAAACTCCTCTTAGAGGAGAGAATCCTGAAGGTAGAAAAGAAAATCACCCAGACAGTATCCTGCAAATCACTGTCAACAACAACATGAAATTTCTATCTACATCATCAGCACCTTTCTATTATCCTACTGCCAAGTTTCCTCACTGCTATTTGGATGCTTTCTTTCATCCATAATAGAAGCATTAAAAAGCCCTCACAGAAGAGTATGGATTCCTAGAGAATTTAGTTTTTCAGAGAAGGCACTTGTGGAGGTTGCCTGGGCCGTCGTCGGCAAAGCCACTGCACAGCACCCCGGCACAATTATTCCATAGTCCTTGTGAATGGAGCCCCCTGGAGTTGTACAATGAGGTACATCAGCCCTGGGACAACAGCAGTCAGCTGGGAGAATACATTCCTACTTTTTTTAAACATCTAAAAAAGAGAAGTGCAGTTCAAGTCTCCTGTCTGTCAGCTCTAGTCCCACCTCTCCGTAAAGAGGTTTGGCTAACCCCTCCCTGGCTCTGTACTTCTCATAGCCCACTCCCCCAAACTAACTAGTCTAGAGTAGTAGACATATAAAAGCAGGGATGGAGGGGCCAGGGAAGCGACAGGAAAGAAGAAAGAGAAAAGGTAAAACAAAACAAAACAAAACAAAAAACCAACAAAAAACGCTAGGAGTGGCAGAGAGGAGGAGAGGGAAGTAAGAGCAGATCACGTCTGAAAGTGCAGAGCTGTACCCGGGAGAACCTGCCGCCTTGTTCTTGCCCCCACACCTATTTCATTGAGAATTCTGTGAAAGGTTATAGGGTAGTGCAAATAAAACACGTCTCCAATGAAGACAGGCCTCAGCTAGCCTACAACTTCACGTCTATAAAACAATGATCTTGTAACAAAATTAACTTTTTGTGTTGTTTTGGCTCTATTTCCCCTGACCTTCTCTAGTGTAGAAGGAAGCAGCTCAAAGCATGGGAGTAAGAAGCATAAGGGGACAGCTACGGAGGTGCAGTAGTCCTGAAATAATCAACAGACTAAATCTGGTGTCAAGTGAACCTCAGGGGTCCTCTGGGCTGAGATCTCGGTGCAGGAGGCCCCCAAGCATACTATGCCTGAGAGGTGGCTATCCAGCCATCATTTAACATTGCCAGTGATGGGCAGCTCACTACCTCACAAGGCAACTTGATCTATTTCTGGATAATAATTCAGATAAAAATCTGAAGCTCAAATTATTAGGAATCTGTTCCTTATACTGTGTGGCCTTTTAATGTCCAAACCTTGGCCTTAGCTCTGCCCTCTGAAGCTACCCAGAACAGATGTAAATGATCATTTCCCATGAAAATCTCTCAAATATTTGAATATAATAAGCATATTCTCTATCACTTCTCTCTCCTAAGACAGACATGCTCTGTTCTTGTTTTTGAACCTTTACAAAATTCAATGAAAAGTTTTAATAACCTGACCAAAGATGACAGTTTGTTGGTCCTTACCGATTCAGGAAAGCATTTCCAAAGCGACTAAGCTTTCGAAATGGCTTTTTGGGGTCCACGACTAAAGCATTCCCTGGGGTGCTGCCCTCGGTCTCCCCGTACATCACAGCGATGAAGGAATCAGTGGTGGGCTCTGGACCAATCCTCATGCCTGGGAAATCCTGCTCCAGTAAGTATCTGGGGGAGGGGGGAAAAAAAGAAACAGCATGTTGTCACAAAGCAAGAGGCCAGAAAGCTTCCTGGATCTAGTGATTTTTAACACAAGCACTTAAAAACCTGGAACTATAACCTCCAAGAAAAGGAGAATGGCATTTCACATTAGAAGCATACTTTAAAAATAATTATCTGTTAACGTTCTGTCTGGCAGAATTGCTACTTGGCATTTTACTCTTTTGCTAATAATAATTTTTCAAAGCCTAAAATCTACAAACCGATTGTTTTCCCCGAGTATAAGAAGCCCTGTGAACGAGATCAGACATCTTGCAGACTGACTGAGCCTTTTGAAAGTGTGCCTTTGCTCAGCACAACAATTCTTATTCATGTTTCCATTGGTGCAACAGACATCAACCACCCCAGAGAAGCGTACCCAACTAGCTCCTATGCATCCTGGAAGACCCGGCTCAGGCCCACCACCTTTAGAGAAGTGTCCCTGTCCCTCTAGCACGTTGGGGAGACCTCCTCTGTGGGCCCTGGGTACCCTGTGCCTGTGGCCATCATGGTGCTCACCATGGGTACTGTACTTCTTTGCTTGTGGGCCCCTGCAGGCAGGCCCATGTCTGTGGCCAGATGCAGTTTTACAACTGCTCTGGGATCTCTAGTCTGAAGTCATCATCAGCAAAGCTAGAATTCAAGTCCAGATCACACCCCTCCCACATCTGTGGCCTGGATCATGCTATAACAGGAGGCCTGGGGGAGAGGCGAAGGAAGAAGAGACAACTGGGCAGAGGAGCCAGGGCTTGGAAGAACAGCAGCAACCAGTGTCACCAGGCTCCCTGCAGCACACACAGTTCCCAACTCACAAAAGGGTTGGGTCCAAGTGTTGGTTTGAAACTTGCCAGGCACTTTCCCTAGTATCAATGTTAACTGCAATGGTTGGCTTGCCAAAACAGCCTACAAAAGGCCACACACGCCAATAAAACAGATGAAAATTGTTTTGGGGGGAAAGCTCAGCATTTAGTTCTACCTTGGGTGGTTCTCTGCAACGTGGCTCCTTCTCAGCACCTTCTCAGGCCTGGTGGGGAGGTGGGCATGTGAGAATAGGGCTCAGGCAGGGGTGGAGGGCTGTGTGGAAGCTGTAGCTAAGCACTGAGTCCCAGCGGGGCAATAACTCACATGTAAAGGTGTGTAAGTCAGACCATCACTGTCAAGGAGTGCCTGAATTGCTTCCCGATGGTTCATTTCTATAAAAGCATAGCAAACCCCATGATTTTGGAATGACAGAAGTTTCAGTGACACATCTAAAGTATGAAATTGTCTAAAGAAGAGCAGGTGTTTCTTACTTTCAAATTCATACTGTAATAGAAGCTAGAATATGCTAAGTAGCAACACTGCTAGACAGAACATTAATAAATAATTGTTCTTTAAGTATGTTGCTAATGTGAATCAGTTTGAACCAAAAGAAGCTCCCTCAACTGTGACCTCAGTGAATCATCCAATCTCTGGGTCCCAGACACAAAAGAACAAGAACTAAGGAGACTTACTGGATTACATAGCTTGCTTACAGTATTAATTTACTTAGCAATACTTTCTCCCATAGATAATAAAAAGCCAAAATTCAATGTTCAATTTCATTATCAAAGTAATATCAATTAAAGACATACTATATTAGCACTTTTATTTTATTTATATTTATTTAGTTATTTATTTTAGGCGAGGCAATCCTGGTTGACTTCATAGATTGCAAGGACCTTGTCAGCTTACAATCTCTTATTTTTTATTTTATTTTTTACGCCTACAGCACCTGGTCTTCCTAGGTGGTCTCCCATGCAAGTACTAACCAGGCCCAACCCTGCTTAGCTTCCGAGATCACATGGGATCAGGCTTGTTCAGGGTAGCATGGCTGTAGACCATATTAGCACTTTTAAAAACTCATAACACTCAATGCTGGTGAGGCTTCAATAAAATAAACACCCTTATATATGTTGGTGGAAGAATAAATTGGTATAACCTCACTGGAAAGAAATTTGATTCTTTGTGTTAAGAATGAAGCCTTTAAAATGGGGGTTTTTGAAATCTAACCTTAGGAAAAATCCTAGACACGAAAAAGATTTCTGCATGAAGATGTCCAGTGCAGCATTATCTATAACAGCAAAAAATTAGAAAAAAAATTGTGTTCTCTTTCCCATAGCTCTTATCCCCCTCTATCATAATATGCAACAATCTCTGAGCACATGGTTGAGGTGCTCAATAAACACTTGTTGAAATAATGAATGTATAAGTGTCTAATAACAATGGCCTTAGTACCACCTTCCCAATATGCTACAGCCATTCCCAGCTCAGAGTTGTTTGGAAAGCTCATCTCCCACATTTCTGCATGTCAAATGGCACTTCCTCAGTGAGCACCCTGACAAAGTAGCCTCTCCAGTCTGTGAGCAGCATTAGTGAACAGACAGGACAAAAAGCGCTGCTTTCCTGTGTCTTCACTCTACAGGGGAGACAGGGAATAAATTATAAAATAATAAGTTTCTTTTCTTCTGATACGTAGTTATTTCCTGCAGGGCTCAAGCCACACACTCAGAACTTTAGAGCCTCAAAGTCTATGAGGAATCATTTGGTTCAACCCCACATCTTGACAGGTGAAGAGACTGAGGATGAGGGCAGGAATGTGACTTGTTGCTGGTCAAACCTGCCTGTGGCCATGCCGGACTGGGTGCCTGGAATTCCTCCCTCCTGGCCCAAAGCTTTTGCTCTTATACTAGGCTTAGCTCTACAACCTTAGGGTTCCACACCGCCCGCCCAGCTTCTAGTTCCCTAAGTAGGACTTGTCAGATACATGAGTCAATATATGACATGCCCCACTGATTGCCCGGAAGAGGTTTTTGGTTTTTTTACACTGGGGATGGTGAAACTCAGATACACTTATGTCACACTGTTGGGCAGACATGCACATGGCAAGGCAGTGAGACAACTAAGAATAACCAGGACACAGAGGAACTGACATGAACCAAGTGAGAATGAAGTGATGAGGTTCAAAACCAGCAACCTGGAAAGAAAGAGTCTGAGTGGATCTTGAAGTGTGATGTACAAAAATGGTTTACTCACACAGCCCCATGCACGATGCTAATCAATTGTGTTAAACGTTTTTCTGACACCTCAGAGGCTTTCCCAAAGTCACGAGTTCCAGGGACTTTGTGGTGTTACTGCGATAACAAGAATTCAAAGGAATAAGAGGCCACAGGAAGCCTACAGAAAGAATTGACCACGGTTCAGAGCCGCTGGCCCACTGCACAAGCATCCTGTGCGTTAGATGGATTTTTGTCCCTGGCTCCACCTTGCTCTCCTTTTCCTGTGTTCTCAGAGAGTCTGCCAATTCCAGTGGTGATTGCTCCCAGAGTCTTGAGCCAAGTTGTCAACATAAAAAGATACAGACATTTGGATTCCAAGGAGCTGCGCGGAGGGGATGGGTGGGAGGTGTGGGAGGAGGACAGGAGACACGACATCTCCTTGTCCCTGTCCTCTGAGGGTCACGGTTCGGCCTTGTACAGATGGCTCCTGGGTACATTGGCTGCCATGCTCAGGCTAGGCTCAAGGAGCTGCTTTCAGGCAAAGGTATATGTGGACAGTGTCTTTTTTCTTTCATTGCTCAGGCTAGAAAATTTTTTTTAACTTCATAGAAAAAAATGTGACAAGAAAAAATCTTCAAGACGATGAAAAGTGCCTCAACATATACAAGCACCATCTTCTCAAAGATGAGCTTAAGAATGACTAAAATACAAACAAACAAACTGTAAGAGGTAAATTATTCCAAAATTCTAGCTGTAAATTTTGTCTCCCCTGCTTTCCTGTGTCTTCATGGGCATTCATCCACGCATTCTTAAACTTATTCCATCCTAAGTACCTTCCAGGGTAAATGCTATTTTTATCCCCATTTTACAGATGAGAAAATTAAGGCTCAAATAGATTAAATGCTTTATTAGAACCTAGAATTTCTTACTAGTCATGTGAGAACATTACCTGTCCTAAATTAGAGCTTGAGAGGCTGAGTCACTCCCCACCAGGAGCTTTTATAGGAACACATTCCATGAATAACAAATATACAAATCTAAGACTTGTTAGTAGTAGTATTCAATAGTTAAGCAAGCATTCTGAAAGTAATATGGCACATATATTTGGAGTGTATTATGAGTATTAAAAATCTTGAGAAAATCTAGAAGAAGCTTGTATAATAATAAATGAGATTAAAAAAAAAATCTTTGTGCACACACTGGCATCTGTGCATAGAGTTTGAGGGTTCAATTCATTGATATGACCTGGGACATTTTTTTAAAAAAGAGCATTAAACTAACTCCAACAATCGTTTTATTCTTTCGGGTACCACTAAGGTTTTAAACCATGAAGATGTGAAAAAAATATACAAAGTACAACTTTTGAGTTCAGTGGAAGAGCAGTCTTATTTCCTTATTTTTAAATATGGGACTATGAGTTTAAATAATTTCAATTTATAATAAGTGCAGAGAGTTTTACATTATGCATTTATTGATAATACTTGATCCACTATTTATTAGTAGAGAGACCGAAAAGAAAGGGTTAGTCCTTCAATTCTGATTTGTCTTGAATCTGGAAATGTTTTTAAAGCAGTTTCCTTTGTTTATCCTCATGTTTAATAACAAGAAATGGAAGTAGGAGGAGAATCGAACATTTATTATCACAAAATTCTTATAAAATGGTTCAAAATACATAAGTTGATACTACCGCCACCTCTACTTATAGACACCACCAAACAATAGATTATTCTGAAACCATGCCGTACAGTTTATAAGGCTTTTCGCACTTTTTATCACTTCACCCTCACTGTCATTGGAGCAGGTACTCCTATCCCTAGCTTATAAGAGGGAAAAATGTGCTTATGGCAAGTTAAGTAGCTGGCATGAGACCACATTAGCACAGAGTAATGACCGCTTTTAACATCTTGAAATATTTCCATCCGGTCATTTTTCAGCAAATATATTTTTTAATAA